GGCTTGATTTGCTCTTCTTTTTTTAAAAGTTTGAGATTCAACATAAATAAGTTTGTTTATTTGAGCTGGCTCTGTTTTTCTGATATGCAAATTCACTGCTATAAATTTCCCTCATAGGGCTGTTTTCATTGTGTCCCATAAGTTTCAGTATGTTGTATTGGTATTATCATTTAATTGTAGAAACTGTCTAATTTCTTCTTTAATTTCATCTGTGACCCATGGGTTGTTCAGGAGGGTGTTATTTAATTTCCATTGTGATGATTATAAGCTTATGCCACCACACCTGGCCTGAATTGCACACTTTAAATGGATGAATTGCATGGTATGTGAATTATATCTCAGTAAAGCTGTTTCATAAAAAAATTAAAAAGCAGGACCCTTCTGGTTTTTCTTTTTCTTTTTTTTTATTTTTTATGCCGGGGATCCAACTCTGCACCTTATGCTTGCAAAGCAGGCGGCAGAACTACTGAGCTAAATCTCTGGCAGGACCTTTCTGTTTTAACCCTTAGAAAAAAGTGACCTGACATTGATATCTCTCTTATTGTTGTATCCTTGCTCCCACCTTACAAAACCCACTGTTCTGTCACTGGCCAGGGGGAGCTTTATTTTTAAAATCTTATACAATGGAGACTGCTCCATTCATGAATCTTGAATAAAAACAAATTAGATCTATAAGTACATTTTTAATAATTTTGTCTTTTGACAAAGCTTACCCATTTTTCTCCGTATAGTCAATTGTATAATTATATTAGTTATACTCCCAAATTAGTTTTATCCATTTCTTGTTACTGGCTGTTGGGATGGCTTCAGTTTTTTCTTTACTACTACGGACATTCTTATACATCGTTCCTGGTTGTGTAAGTTCATGAGTTTCTTTAAAGAATTGCTAAACAGGTAGGCTATGTAAACATTCAAGCTTTCAAATGGTGCCATCTTGATTTCCAAAATGATAGTCCTCCAACCAGCTGAGTGTAGAAGTTCCTATCTATCGAGATCCTCACCAGCCCTTAGTGGTGTCAGCCTTCTTCATCTTTGCCAACTTAGTGGGTGTGAAGTTGTCTCTCTTGTTCTTTTGCATTTTCCTGATTATCAATGAAGTTGATCTTCCTTCTTCATATCTGATTGGTTTTTCACTTCTGAGAAATGCCTGTTTGTGTCTTTTGCTCAGGTTTTAATCTGTATTGTCAGTAGTGTAGTTAACAATGACTTTTCTCAGTTGGGGACTTGTCTTTTCATTTTATTTATTTATTTATTTTTGTGGCACTTGTAACTGAATCAAAGACCTTCACACTGAACTACATCCCCAGCCTTGTATTTTGTTTTTTTATTTTGAGACAGGTTTTGCTCAGTCATTGAATTGTCCAGGCGGGGCTCGAATTTGTGGTCTTCCAACCTTAGTCTCCCAAGTGCTGGATTACAGGTGTGCACCATCACACCAGGTACTTTATGATGTCTTGATGGAGAAAAGTTCTTAATTTATGAGTATTTTCTTCAAGCTTGGTGCTTTTAGCTTGTTGAAGAAAGTTTTTTTCTTTGGAGGTCAGAAGATATTTTCCTATATTTTCTTTGATGAGTTTAAAAGTTTTGCCATTCACATATAAATCTATAATCCACCTGGAATAGATATCATATAGATATCATTTAGGGTTTGGGAAAAGGATCCAGTTTTTCTTGTTCTTTTTTTTTTTTTTGGTACTGAGGATCAAACTCAGGACCTTGCGCTTGCTTCTTCTTTTTTGCGGGGGGGTACTAGGGATCGAACTCGGGTCCTTGTGCTTGCGCAGCAGGCAGCAAAACCACTGAGCTAAATCCCTGGCCTCTCCCTTCTTTTTTTGAGTAGCTAACTACTCTTTTCATGGTGATTGGCAGTGGTGCTTCTGTCTCTGCCCCACATCAAATTCCCTGTGTCTGTGGGTGGTTTTCAGGCTGTCCGTTCTGTTTCACTAGACTATTTGGCTATCCCCGTGTTCATTGCTCTCCCAATTGCTTTACCTTTACATGTCTTGATATTCAGTAGGGAAAGTCCCTTCCTCTTACTTTTCTTTCCCAGTAGTATCTACTTTTGTGTCTTTGTTGTTCTAAGGTATTTTAGAATTAATTTGTCTAGATTCAAAAAACTTCTGTTGTGATTTGGACTGGGACTGGAGTTACATTGATTTTAAAGATCAACTTAAAGGAAGTTGACATCTTTATTTACTTAGGCTTATTTTTGTGCAGTGCTGGATGGAACCCAGGGCCTCATAGCACTCTACCCAGTGAGTTACATTCCTAGTCTGGAAGTTGATGTGTTTTTTTGGTTTTTTTTTTTTTTGAGACAGGGTCTCAGTATGTAGTTCAGGCTGGCCTTAAACTCAGTATGGAACTCACTATGGAGCCCAGGCTGGCTTCAAACTCATGGCAATCTCCTGCCTCAGCCTCCGGAGTGCTGGGATCACAGGCTTGTGCCACCATGCCTGGCTGTTGACATCTTTAAATACTTAGTCTACCTCTCTATGAAGAATTAAGAAAAAAGATATTATCTAATGTTTTCAGGTTTGTGATTCTTTCTATCCAGGCCTTATACATCTATTATTAGATTTATTCCTGGGTACCTAATTTTTTTTGTTGCAATTATAGATGATGTGTATTTGTTTTTATTTTTTTAAGTTTATTTCATTTTGCTCTCTTGATCTTTTTTGGTACTGGGGATCGAACTCAGGACCTTGTGCTTGCAACGCAGGCAGTGGAAACACTGAACTAAATCCCTGGCCCAATGATGTGTATTTTAAAAGTATGTCTCCTAAATTCAACTACATTTTTCCTTTGTAGGAAAAAAGATCTTTCTTCTTCCCTCTTATATGTTGTAAGACTTTATTTGCAGAGTTTTGGGTTGTCTATGCAAATAAACATATAATCCATGAATGATGGACATTTCTTCTCTTTTAATCTTTTTTTTTTTCCCCATTAACTTTATTGGTACATTTTAGGTATAAAATACAGTTACATTCATCATTGGGATCTTGTACCATTACATGAGTCTCTTGGTTCTTAT